ATATATTCTTGACATGCTGGACTGCCTCCAGGTACTTAACACTCTTCTTAAGCTGGCAGGCCTGAAACTGGACTCAGTATTCCCAGTATGTTGGTAGTGCTGAGGTCAGGAAATCAGCATAACTGATCTTCTATTGTCACACTCCTGGTTGCAAAGACAATTTCTATAGTGATGCTCAGAGAATAGCAACTCGAGGGCACAGATACACCCAAGCAGGAAGAGCAGATGCTGACAGCAGGCTGGAAAGGACGGGGATAGGAGCTGCAGAGCAGTGACAGGAATCAGCTATTAAACAACACAGAGCTGAGGCACTGAAAGCCTTCTGATTCTCTGACAAAAGAAGGTGCATCCATAGCCCAAAAGTTTGGGAGATGAGCCAGGGCATGGTGCAAGGGGAGCAGACACTGGGTATACAGTGCTGTCTGTACAGAATCTCCAACAAGGCACTCACAGCTTGCCTACCCAGACCATCCTCAGCTTTGGTGACAATTCTACCTCTCTCCAGCCAAGAAATTCCAGAAAAAAACCACTTTGAATTGGTGTTTCCAGACACTTGTCAGCAACAAAGCTAGCTGAAAGAGCCCCTGCCTCCTCTCTTCTCACATATGGCTGCACGTTGCTCTTGCAGAACCATTCCCCAAGTTGTGCTGGTATGGTCATCTACAAGGCAGGGCAGTGACTTGGATTAAAAAATAGCTGCAGAAATAAATGACTGCACAGTGCAGGGAGACGAACTTACTCACTGGCACGGGGGAAGGAAGATGGAAAAAGTTTAAATCAGTGTTGCTGCCAAGTAAAGTGTCAGTCAGATCAGTGCTCCTCTATGCCAGAGCTCCTCGTCTGTACTCCAAATTAATTTTGTTTACAGCAATTAGATGAGTGAAGGCAAGAACCAGCACACTAGCATTTAACATGTATGGAGGGTACATACTGTATTTTCCCATGTTTTTAGACCCAGCAACTGGAGAGAAAACAAAAATTCTCAGCACCGGTGACTCATGCTGAGGACAGAAGAAGGATGTGCACAGAGCATCGTTGTCTTTGACCTGCTTTCATTTAGCACTCACAGTCTTTTATCAAAAACCTTCATGTGAGATGTGACTGAGAAAGCACAGGGTTAACTTGCTCCAACAAGTGGAAGTCTTCATTTTCTTCTCAGATGTCTCTGTCTCCAAATATGAACAGAAAATCCATTTGCATCAACATCAGCATCAGAGAATCTCAAAAAACTCTCCCCTATGACGCTGTCTCCTAATAATTTTAAAATAATTAAAAACATCTATTTCCTTACTTGCAATCCCTCCTGCTATTTCCACACATGCAGGCAAAAAATCCCTTCCCTGTGCCACAAAGATGGACACAGATGCCGGAGTCAAACTTTCACTATGTATTCTCTTTAGCAGCTCTCATTTAGTATGAGCAGGTGGTGAGAAGGAAGCGGAGCAAGAAGGAAGAACACTATTTTGGGTAAGGAAGCAATAACTGTGCTACTACTCTATTAAATAGTATGAATGGTGGAAACCTGAATCATGCTTTTACTGTATGAATGGTTAATTTCAATATGCTATTATAAACAGTGATCCTCTCCCTCTGCATCTCAAGACTGCAATCTCCCTAACAAAAACCATACACCTGTTGAAAAAGAGCAGGATCTGAATCAGACGTGGTGGCAAGCACGACGGATGCATTCACTTGAGTTTTGTGTTAACCCTTCCTCCAACACTCAGGTTCTGGTCTCTAGGGCCCATAACACACTTCATAAAAAAAAAAAAAGAGCCCACTGAAAGCAATGCTTGAAAGAAAAAGGAAAGAGGCTGTCAAGCTGGAGTCTGGGATAAATTACAGCTCCATTTTTAGCTTCCCTGAATGGAAGCACTTCTGACAATAAGAGCTGCCAAGACAAAACCGTAGCAAGAAAATGAGATAGTTAAGAGTGTGCCTATTCACCCTCAGATAGGTATTACTGCAATGATAGAGATTACTTACCAAGGAAATTTCATAGCATGTATTTAAAAGGGCTGGATTGTACAGCTGTGCATACAATGTCCCTTCCAGACAAGAATTAAGTTTCAACACTGGAAACAATCCCTTTGCTTCCTATGAGCAGAGGGCAAGCTCTTATGCTAGTAGGCAGTGAGCATCCTCCAGAGCTGCATTTTTTAGAACGATCTTCCAAGTTTTTGCTGTTGAAACAAGTCACTTTCTATCTCGTATGTAATCTGCGTGTCCATCCCTCTGGCTCTCGTGCAGGGGTGACTACAGTGGTTTCTGCCTGCACAGAAGGGATGGCTCAGCTGCTCCTCCAGCAGCTGCTGAACCATCACAAATTACAGCTTACTGCATTGAAGTATGTAGAAATTGGTGCCTATCTTAGTATGCAGGACTGCAAACCATGATGGGTCAGCAGCTGCCACACAAACAGCTGAGCCAACCCTGCAGCAAGGGTAGCAATGAAAGAGATGGCAAGAATGACTCCAGCAGCCCTTGGGTAAGGCACACTTGACTTAGTGTTGACCTCTGGTGAGTTACACATCTCTTGCTTCAACCTCTCTGCTGTAACGTGGGTAGTTCCTCTCCCACACACTTCCTAAGAATGGTGCTGCAAGGATGTGTGCACATGGTATAAAAGAATGCTGTTAATTAATTAAGCACTGCCACACCCTGTTCCAACTGCTCCATTAAAAAAAATTGATTGATCTGATAATGATACTCTTCATGTTTTATAAAGGTGCTACAGATAAAGAAAATAAAATACATCACCTATTTTTTTTTTATTTTTAATGGCAAGAGAGGTACAGGAACCTTACAGGGAGAAAAAAAACCAACCAAGCGTCATTGCTATGTGTTAGCCTCTGTATTAGTGCCTGCCCCTAGAATCTCATCTGCTGGTAGTAGTTCCTGATATCACTATAAGATGCACAGCCTGCTCTTGCCGTGTCATGCACATGCCTTCCTAGGACACGCGAGATATTCTTATCAGCTCTGCTTAGCATTTTCTCTGCTAGGTATTTTATCAGCCTCTGCTGTGCTTTCAGATTTTGGTGTACATTTCAAAGCTATTTTAACCCTGTTGTCATCTGTACTGCTGGTGATACATCCTGGCTGCCATTGTCTCCTTCTTACTCTATAAAGATGTCCAGTGGTTTCCTGCACTGGTCTGCCCTCTGCCTTCACATCTTGATACAAAACCACCCCCAGTGCTCTCCCTACCAGCCCACATTCTTTATTAGCAAGGTGTAATCATGGTATGAGGCACCTGTAACCAGGATGTGAAGACAAAGGAACCTCAGTTAGGGTGCTGCTATCAAATTATGCGTGGCCATCCCTCCCACTTACTCCTATCCCTTCTCACAGACAGGACATCACTGCATTTTTCTCAGCTCATGACTTTCTTCCTCCCCACCCACTGCATGTCCCCTTCCTTTAGTTACATGCTTTGTTGATGTTTCCATTTGCTAATGTTCTCATATGGAAAAGATGATGCGGATATGGGTTTCCCTTGTGCTTTTAATAGATTCCTGCCAGGCATTCACTGAATAGCACACTACAAGATGCGGCACGCATCTAAAGTAGTCACAAAATACACTGTAATGCACGTCCCCAAACAGCACAGCCACCTAATCCCTACAGCATCTGAAGAAAAATGAAGGCTGAGAGGTTACGTGCTAAAATGTTACACTTGAATCTTAACCTATTCAGATGCTCAGTGAAGCCTATAAATTCTTCTCCGTATTTTTTGCACACGGTACAGAAAAAGTAAGCACTGAAATCCCCTGGATTTTAGAGTTCTGTCTAACTTGCAAAGCTGTAAACAATGCTTGTTGCCTAGCACAGCTGTGCTAGATGTGATTCCCCTGCCATCCCACCAGCCACACACCTGGAGCAGGTACTTTGCCTGGAGCACAATGTAAATGTGCTTAATGCTGCTTTTACTTCCAAACAAGAATGAATATTTGTTCATACAACAAAACAAGATGATCATTTTGCACTGCATTTGAAATGCCACAAACAAATCCAATAGGAGTTATGTTTACCTCTCTCATTCCCAAGTATTTTGCAATTTCCCTCCCTAAATCACTGACCTGCCTCTTTCTTCTCAGACTCCTAATCCGTGAGTCAAACAAAACAAAACAAAAAACATCCCTATCTTCCTCCCCCAGATAAGGAAGGGTTAGGTAGTGCAATAAGCAAGTTTGAACAAATAAGTGCTACATTTGCAATCTGTTAATTAACTATCCAGAAGAGTGGGATTCTCTATGCTTAGCTTCACAGTAGTTTCTCTTCTAATGACTTGAGTGTTATATACTTAGAAAATAAAATTATTTGGCATAAAACACACGAGCCTATGAAATGAAAAATACCTTACCCGCTCTTCACCTCTGATAACAATGTAATCACAGCTGGTGTACTGTTTAAAGGCGTACAAATAGTTTTTGTTACAGCTCCGCCTCTCTAAGGATTGATATTTCAGAGATGAACTAAAGAAGGATCGCTCCTAGCTCCTATCAGTAGCTCACAGCTTATGCCTAGGCAATTTTTTGCATGAATGGGGAACGAAAATAAGAATTCCTCTGCGTGTGGCGGCTGCTGCCTGCCCTAACTCAGTGCCTTGGCAAGGGCTGCAACGATGCTTTATGCAGCCAGATACGGTCTGGAATAAGGAAGGGAGAAAAACCCTGGACTGGACTTGGGAAGCTAATATCACAGCAAAAACACCTTCAGCTACCAGCAGAAGATGTATTCCTGTCGCACTGCCACAGCACTATCAGTACCCTCACACACACAGTTACAAGCCTGCACGTGTCCCACAGCAGCCCAGCTTCTCCAGCACCCCACACAGCCTCAGTGACATTACCCCTGCTGTGCAAATCCCTTTGCAGGCAGGCAGGCACAGACAGCGCCTGGCTGCAAGGTGCCGACCTCTGCGGGCTGCTGCACAGAGATGCTGCCCGGGAAGCACGTGGCTAGAAATTAAAGCCCATCCGCTGCGGTTCACTTACCCAGCTTGGAGGCCCCATCTGGTGGGTACTCAGGGAACTGGCCCTCGGAGGGCACGCTCACCGTGCGGCGCAGGCAGCGGCCTTTGGTGGCATCCTGAGGTTCCTGCAACCCCTCGGTGGGCACCTGAGGGAAAAAGCAGACAGCTGTTAGCCTGCAACCCCGCTGAGAGCATCATTTCCCAAGCAGAGTATTAGTAGCAAATAAAAACGAACATTCATCTGGAATTGCAGAACGGTTTGGGTTGGAAGGGACCTTGAAGCTCACCTAGCTCCAGCTGCCTGCTGCAGGCAGGGCTGCCACCCACATCATATTTGTACTGAAGGCTGTAAAAGATGCATGAGATGCTGCACTATTTTAGAAACTACACTGCCTCTCACAAACTGGTTCTGGCATTTCCTGACTTTCATGCACTTAGCATTAAAAATGACCTTAAGAGAATGCTGTTTGTCACTGTTGCCAGTCTATTTGTCTCCTTCAAACAGTGCTCATTTTTAAACACACGTTTCCCAAATCCCCAGCGGTTAACTCTGCCGTGGCCACTCTCTTTGTTGGTACATACTTACAGCAGCTCCTTTGCTAAACAATCTGAGCTCAAACAGAGTACTTTTTGTTAAGTTTATGCTACACTCATTCAATGAAGGTCACAGGTTAGATTTTCAGGTTGCATCTGGAGACACCACTTGGTGCCTCTCCCTTTGGCACACTCTCTGTTCTTCAGAGCACGTTTTTGGAGGGATGCAGCACATCCTAGAAGCACTGAGGTGCTGCACCTTGCTCAGGGAACTCGTTGAACCTACGCTACGCCCACACTTATGCAGCTCCTGTGGGGTAGACTTCTCCACCATCCAACTTTTAACAGAGAAATTCATGCAGTCCCTTTTCTTTTAAGTGCCCTCCTTCAGTACCTTTGCTCTCTTTCTGGCACAGGATGACAGAAACATTCCTTTAATCCAGTGAGGTGAAGGGCTGGCTTGAAGCACCCTGCTAGCAATGTGTAAGAAGAGTGACAGTGGCCGGTAGGATAGCCTGGGGCAGGGAACAGCTTGCTGCCAGTGTCAAGGAGGAGGTTGGTGGCTCAGCCCATGCTGTTTTTTGCGTCCTTGGGAAAAGCAAACAGGCCGCAGCGCACTGCAGCCGGTGCCAGAAGCAAACCAACCACTGCATACCAGAGATAGGATTTATCTTCAGAAAGGACCTGAGCCATTATTAGGAAGAGTGTCTGAGGGTTGAGGTCCTGCCCCTAAGCCACAGCACCTTCTTGTACTCACCAGCCGCCTGGAACAGGAAAACCTGGCTGGGTTTCACACCAAAGGAGGGGCATTGGTGCAGTAACACTCATCTGGTGCAGAACAGTCCTCACCAGGAAAAGACTGCTTTTGTTAAAGTGCCTTGAGAAACACCTGATACTATTATTTCACTAGGGAATTCTGCAAGCTGCGTCAGGAGCGATATTGCACCAGGACTGAGGAGAACCGCTACGCATTACAAAGTCAGGGCTCGAGCAGCACTTCAGGCTGCCAGCAGGTTTTTGTGCAGCTTTGCTGCCTGCTCTTTGACCTGCTGAGCCTTCAGCAACACCGAATGGCCCAGCCCTGCTCTGGCTTGCTGACAATCCTGACAACCCTGACCATGTTTCACCGGTGATTTCCAAAATGTAACAAGGGCAGGTTCACAGCTCAGGCTTTCATCTCTCAAATAGCGTCACAGCTCACCTGCTGCTGAACACGCTTCTTAAGTATAAACCTTGTTCCTGGGATTTCTAGTCTGATGATGGAGAGATTTCAGATGAAACAGAGGAACAGCATCACAAGCGTTTAATACCACTTAAAGTAAGCTGGGAGCTTTAAAAAAAGAACAGAAGTAGACAGAAAAGAGCTTCTCCATTGCAGACAGATTTTTTTTCAGACTTGGAAAGACCAAAAAACTTGAAAATTCACAGCCTCTTCTGAATTAATAATGAGGAAGTTAGGAATCACATCGACAGTTACTTAATGATAAAGCTCTTCACTTTAGTTTTTGCCTTCCTTGAGAAAGTTAGAAGCTGGCTAAAATCCCGACTTAAGAATCCACTTTAAAAATGTTGATAAGCATTTCTTTGTGACCTTGGGAGACAAGTAATTAAACTCATTTGGTAATTGAAACAAGTCTTATGCCTGAGTTGAGCTTCGACAAACTCATATTTATGGGCATATCGGATTTGCGGTACTAAAAAGGTGAGGCCTGGGGTGTGGGGGAGAAAAGGGAAGAGCCTATCACAGTGATAAGAGATTTGCATTTGCAGCTGAATGCAAAACTGAAGGATTCTGCAGGACAGCAGCCAAGTTACAGACTGTGACTAACCCAAAAGCAGCCCAAACCCAGATGTACTCATTTGTCACATCCCTCACGAAAGTGCTGTGCAATGGGTTATCTATCAGAAACTGCTGATCAGAGATACTGACTCATTCCCTTTTCCTGTTTCAATGCCTCTGTTTTTGCAGGCACTCTGTATGGTGCCTTCTTTAGAAGTGGGTGCTCACAGCTCTTGCCTATGGAACAGGTTTCACCAACACTGAAAACATCCACACTCCTGACAGTGGGAAATTGTCCTCCTCATATAAAAAAGACACTGATTTGTAAGTGAGAATCAGCCTAGACCTGTTCTCCTAGTCTTGGAAGATGCTGCTAGGTGTTGCCACACCACAAGATGTTCTAGTAATTGCACATCTGTCACTCAAGCCTCCTTATTTGCTAAGTCATCCCTCACACCCCTACAGGTGCTCGATTTCTTTCTACTTTTTAGGTCTCAGTCTCTTCCCTTCATTAATAATCTTCATTCTGCAATCTCACCTATTTCATTTTATGAAGTTGATGAACTGACAAGTAATTAATATTTACCTATGCTGCACACAGTGATACTCTCAGCCTATTTTTGTCTAAGCAATTACAGATATTTTTGGACCAAGTTGGACCAAATTTCTCTGTTTCCCAACCTACTGTTGTGCTTGCACAGTGCCAGTCTGTCTGCACACACTGTCCAAACAGCCTTGTCAATAAATCTATGTGGGAGTGGGCAGAGAGGGTGCTACAAGAGAAAAGGTTTCTTACTCCCTGGTTTACTTTCTGTTCTCTCAGCCTTAAAATAAAAGACTGCACAATGCATGATGCTGCATTTTAACTGAAAGGAAACCATTTTAGCAGTTATCTGAAGCAATTAAGACATCCTTTCTTTACCTCTTCATATGCTGTACATGTTTTCCTACCTTTTGGCTTTCCATACATGCTTGTATAATGATTCTACTAAGTACCATAAACATCAAACATTCCTGTTCCCTTTCAATTCCACATGAGCTGAGCTTCTTAGATTCCTGTTGTGTGAAAGAACAAAGCAGATGCACAGAAAATACGAGGAGATACCTCAGATGCCCCACACCATGTTCACATTATGCTGGCTTTGAGATGACACAAGTGCTCTGTGCAGTTGGGAGGGCACTGCTGTTAGCATCTCTTCCTTCTTGCCTCCCACCCCACCCCCTAAAGATTTGTATCATTCTGTTCCTCACACTGTTTCTAAGATCCTCGTCAACAGTCCAAAGAAAATCTGACCGACCTGCTCTATCAGCAGTTTTCACATTCAGAGCAGGAACCTCTCCATCTTCCTCTTGCCTCACTTTAGGTTAACAAAAACCATTCTTCAGGATCACCGTTCCAACAATTTCACTCTAAATATCATTTTACTCTAAGAACCTGTTTTCTGCATTTTGTGCTTCCCCTCACCCCCCCCCTTTCCTCACACCTTTAACCCCTTCCCTTGCTTAGGAAGGTGGTATCTGGGATCCCACCCAGGGGCTCTTTCCCATTCTCCTGCACACTTCATCATTCAGTTCTTCCCAACCTCACAGCTCTCTGTCCTGTCCTGCCTAGAGACCCCATGCCACAGGGCCTTTTCCCTCCCAGTGACTCACCATGTATAAGGCACTACGCTGCTGCCCTTCTCCAGGAAAGCCGTAAGGGATGCCTCTGCTTGGGAGGCATTAAAGCTGCAAACACAGAGCATCAGTTCCATGCCTCAACCAGCATTTCTACCCGTGTAGCTGTTACATTTCTTTAAGGGCTTGCATGTACACTGCTGTATGTACAGATTTCTAGATTAAAACAACCTTTTATTTTCCCACAAGCACTTGTGCCTGCTAGAAGTTCCCTTTTTCCCTTCACTTAGAACAGTCCCAAATTACTTTGAAATCAGAACGGCCAATCTGTCTCCAACTTCTGAAACAAATCATATTATCAGCATGTGGAGTCACACCTGCACCAAAGGCATGTCTGCCTGGCTCATCTGCACACAGCATTCTCCAAAACAAGTTATTTCTCATTGTGATATTGCTGGCAGACTCCTTTGAGAGCACGTTACAAAGGCTTCCTTTACTATACTTAAAACCCACGCTGCATATGCCCCAACGTGGCATTTCTCCAGCTTCTAGGAGAAAACAGGCAAAAACAAAGTGCATTTAAATACCACATGTAATGACTTCACATCAGTGATGCTTCAGAGTTCCCATATTTACTCCTCAGGATCTAAGCAAGAGGCTCATCTGACTCCTGGCAAAATGTTTTAACTGTAAGTGGTAAGGAAAATTAACAACCCTTAAGAGCATGGTTACCACCTTCAGATAATTATTGCTGATATGAGCCAGTGTTTTTTTTCAATTATGCTCCTTAATGCATCTCTTAATGAGATGCATCCTTTTAGCCCAGCTGTGCTGGTATAGCACAGCTTTAGGAATACTTCTCGTGTCCTTAAGTTTCTTCAGGAGATACCTTAATTCCTTAGGTGACATTCCTGTCAGACTAGAAAAAGAATTATGTAGTAAACAAATATTATGATATGGGTCTTCAATTTTCCCTGCATTTGATTACCTCTCCTACAAATTAGCACTGATGCTGTTCCATTCTAATAACACAAGTTGTCCTCTAAACCTTTTCCTCCCACTCTCCCCATGAAGGGAAATGCTTCAGCCCTTGTAAGCACACCTAATCAAAGCTCAAGATGGATAATGCTTAGTGCTACACCGGGAACGGGTCTCACGCTCTCAGCTTTCAAAGAATCCAGGCCACTTCCAAATGCAGGAAATCATGGTATTAGATTCAAATTCATAGACATTTATATACAATAAAGCCTATTTCAATAATCTGAAATCGTTCCTACTTTGTAGCTCTTCCTGAAATATTTAAACAGCAAATCTATAGCAGAGTAATTAAGCAAACAAACCCAGGAACATTATCAACTTCTCAAGCTCCTGTATTTGCGAGAGCCTGTAGACATTAAACACAACAAGAAAAACCATACCGAGATGCATGCTTGAGAAAGGACTTACCACCATTTGTTTGCTCACAATGCTTCAGACAACTAAAATATGCCTATTCTTTAACCATATTGACATGACCTTCATACCAAGGCACAATGCCAAGTCCTACATGCTATATACACACACACACAGTAATTTTATAATTAAAGCAAAGGTTGCAATAGCTTTGAGTATTCCACACCAAGGGCCACTCAATCCTGTTTGCTAGATTTAGCAGGACAGAAGGCAAACCCTTATCTCAAACAATTTACCTTCTGACAGCAGCAAAATGACTGCAGAGCACGAAGGTTGCATACTTCCTCTGCTCTGCACTCCAAAACATAGGCACCAACAGCACACTTTTACAAGCTTACGTCTGCATTGATGTGAAGTTTAGGTAGCCATGGTGGCTTCAGCTACCATTAAAAGCAGAGCTAGCACAGAGAAATGCAGTAGCAGGCTGAAATGCTGGGCCTAAAATTCAAGCAGAGAGCAGTGGATGCACAGTGGATGCATTTTGTTCTGTGCAACACCTGGGCCAGCTGCTTTGTAACTCTGCATGCCATGCCAGCTATATGCACAAAACTGGTTAGCTCTCCCATTCACACACTCGATTTGACTTGTGAGCAACTAAAGAAAAGAAGAAAAAAAAAAAAAGAGAGGTGAAGAAAGCTGCCTTCCTGTGTTACCACAGAAGGCCGACGTGTGTTCTCTCACCTCCTTCTCCCTGTTGAGCAGCACCAGCTGGCTGTCAGTCAGGATGCAGTACTTCCTCTCCCATGTCGTTGTTTCGGTGTAGGGGGACTGGCCGCAGGACAGCCTGTGTGTAGGTGGTCCTTTTACATCTGTGAACACAGAACGGGGATCCTAGCATCATTAGCCTGTCTCATTAGCTGCCCTCCTTCAGCTCTGTAACTCTGCAGCAGAGCAGTGAGCTGTACTTAGCATCAGCACGTTAAAAGACAAACTGCTCATCTTGGGAGGCACCGTGGAAGGCAGTATGAGGCACACCATGAATACTTATACGTATCTACAGCACAGCTTATGAAAATAGCAATACCTGAGAAGAATATGAATGCTCTCGCATTCCAACCAAAAGCAAAGAGTGACAGTCTGCACGCAAACTCTGCTTCCTTTTGAGAAACGTAGACCCTGGATGTCCTCTGCATCTTAATAAACCTATATGAGACTGAGGACAGAGAGACATGGGAAGGGAGATGGAGAGCAAGGCAGGAGGCACAAAGAAAGGAGAGAAATCTCAGGGGGATGATATTGAATTGGGAAGGGCTTCCTGGCATCCTTTCAGCAGGGAAGCTGTCAGATTAAATTGTGACAGACAGCAGTCTCCCAGCATTTCCATCCAGCCACAACCACTGTGGTGACAAAAAACTAAAAAGTCAATTTGCCTCAAGACTCAGCCTTGAGCTCCACACCTCATTGAGCCATTCACTACGGGAATTTTCCTCCAGGACCAGAAGTGAGAATGCAGACAGAAGCGTGGCAGCTGTGCAGGTGGCACTGCCAAGCAGGTGAGCCCTGAGCCAGAGCTGCTAGGCAGCTGGGCACACTGACTACAACCTGGGCAGCTCTCTGACCCAGCTCTGCAGCTTGCTGAGCTACTGCCAGGGGGACAACGCTGCAGAAAGCAGCACTGCCCCATCACACTCACAGAATCATAGAATTACTCAGGTTGGAAGGGTCCTTAAGTCCAACTGCAGCCTAACTCTAACTCAGCCTAACCGTACCCTAACTCTAACACTCGCTCTGCAGAAAGCCAGCAGCCCCCACGCTTTAGGAACCCGTAAGGCAAAACGAGTGTTGAAATAAATCCTGCTCAGAGTTCCACGGCGTTCGCACACGGCTAAGGACAACGCTTGCCATACCTACTGCGTGCATTCACCACTAGAGGCCACTGAATCCTCAGGCACCCGCCGCCTGCAAGGGAACCCAGGTTTCAAATCCCACTTCGTTACTAACAGAGCTGCGACATCTCCGTGCTCTCCACCTACTCACAGCAGCTTTGTCTCAGGGACCACTTGGAAAGCTAGAGAATTAAGCTCTCGGTACACAGTTCCCTGCTCACATTGCGTTAGGATTTTGCATTAAGATTTTGTGGTTGCTCAGAGGATTACCTGAAGCGTACAATCCAATACCTTTAAGCAGGAAAAGGCACGGAATGGGTGACCGAATAACTGAACTGAAATCTCTCTTTGTTTCCTTGCTGTTAGGAATGCAAATGGAGAAAGAGGGATGCTCAGAAGGCAGGCCCTGCACCACACCAACCAATTCCTGCTTTCCAGCAGCCACAAGCAGCACTGCACAGGTCCAGCGTACCCAAATGTCTGTGTAGGCAAAAGCAGGGCTTGGGGAAGCCACCATGGTTCCTGTGCAGCCTCCCTATGCTGAAGGAGCCCAAGTGAGGAGCAGCAGCCCGACAGAATGAGGAAGACCTCAGCCAGGAGTGTGCAACAAATCTTGGGATGCAGTCCTTTAGGAAGAGAAGCACAAGATCAGGGAAAAAGGGATGGAGAAGTGTGGTAAGTGAGCAACCTGCTTTGGGGCTGCCTTTCTCAAGACACTGCAAAACCCTTCTGAACCACCAGCTCCAGCACACAGCCTACTACACTCACAGCTTGCCCAGCCTCAGAAAACTTTTGCTTTATGGCTTCTACTAACTAGAAGCTTTGGCACTGAACCATCCAATCGATCTACGGGCTGCACAGAAGGATTAAAGAACAGAATGGCTCCTTCCAACTGCAGTAACAGCTCCCGGACTTCAGTGAGTCATTGGGTGCAGCAGGCCAGCCTCGGCTCCCTGCCAAGCAGGCTGGCCGTGCTGGAGGAGCATTCTGCAGACTGCTGGCAGCACAGCGTGCCACCTCGGTGTCTGCAGCTGTCAGTCACTGCTGAAGCATGCTGCAGCTTTAATATCTCGTATGTTAGCGGCCTTCCAAACGCATGCCAGGACACAGCCTGGCAGCCCTGCAGGCTGACCGAGGCCACCTTCCCCAACAGATAGGTCACTGGTGGTAAATGACTGTCCAAAGCATTAGGTACCCCTGGTCCTCTCCCCTCTCAGATGCTGGAAGCCCATCTTGCAAATCAGGGAGCTGAATGCATAAGGAAGCTGCCTGCAACAACCACAAGCTTCAATGCACTCGTATCTAGCAGCCTCCCTGCCCTATTTCAGTCCTTCTCTACCCAAGCAGCCAACCTCTGCCAACAGCTATAACTTCAAACCTTACTCTGAAATACTTTACAAGTTCAAACTGAAAACTCCTGTGGACTTTGCACAGTATCACGTATATGCTTGGTTGCTTCACAAAGCCCATTTTGTTTTCCAGAGTTCTTCATCTTTGGTTTTCACTTTAGATTCTTGGCCCCAACGTGAATGCAATAAAACCTACCAATCTCTGCCACTAATGCCCCATAAAACTGATTTAGCAGCACTGATCTGATCACTAAGGGGAGGTAACAGCAAGAAGTCCACACGTATCTAGTATTGCTTTAGGGAAAGGTTGAAAATCATGGAATTGTTTGAGTTGGAATGGACTCTAAAAGGCCATCTGGTCCCAGTCCCTGCACTGAGCAGGGACACCCACAGCTCCACCAGTGCTCACAGCCCATCCAGCCTGACCTTGGCTGTCTGCGAGGATGGGGCACCACCACCTCTCTGGGCAGCCTGTGCCACTGCCTCACCATTCTTATTCCTTTATCAAGGCTGCCATTTCTCACCTTGGGATCGTTGTCTTTCATCTCATACAGCACTGTTGGTTCATACAAGCTCAGGTGTTAGAAAGCAACTCACTGATGCATGTACTAAAAGAGATGCAGGAGGAGCAACTGAGAGCTCTGAGTCTGCAGGTGTTTGGGTGGGATGGGCTCATGCAGCCACACACCTGGGCATGCAAGCACTGCTGAGAGATACATTTCTCTGGTCTGATGCAAACCTTCTCCTTCTGCATCAGTACAATGAGGCATTCAAGAAGGCAGAATCAGACTACACACAAGATGAGAGGTCATGCCTTATGTGCCTTCAAATGCTAATATCAATTAAGTAACAGCTTGGAAGAAACCCTGTTCTCTGTCCCTGCTCCCTGCTGAACTGAGCAGTGCTGCTGCCCGCCTGCCACATCCGACACAGCTGAAGAGCTGAAACTGTGCCGTTTTTCCTCGGGGCTCTGAAATGCCACGAGGCACGTTATAAATATCCACAAAGCTCCCATTCTCTCAGCCAAATGACAACTTGTACCTTATTATTAACTACAGAGCTTATAAAGAGAGAAAATAGTGGGGGAAGGAATAGCCATACTGCAACCACATATCGAAAAGAGGTGTTGATTGGTGCTGGGAGAAGGAAGATGGAAAGATGGAGCCAGTGCCAGGCTGATCCTGCAGAGAGGGATAAGGCAATTTATGAAAACTGATGGCAGTTGAGGGAGTAGTACCAGTGCTATCAGATGGGAATGTTACTGAATCTTCCACTGCAACTACGCAACGACAACACTTGCAAGAGCATTCACAAGTGGAGAACACTTTCCAAAATGCAGGATTCAATGGGCAGGATTGGAGAATTATTTCCGAGCGACGTCAAACGTTTCAGCAGCATTGAGCCCCCAGCAGCTCTGCCACTACCAGAAGGGGGGCATCTTCTCTTCAGGAGAAGCGAGAAAGACAGAATTTGCAAAAATTGGGCCAAGGAATCTACATTAAAAGCAGCAAAATGACATAATTCACATTTTCGGTTTCTTTTGCCAAAAAGCACTCTCCCTGCTATCAATAAACACAGAAAAGCAAACCTCCATCCCAGTGATGACAAGAGCACCCCTGGCATGAGTCAAAGCCCCTTTTCTGAGCCAAGATCTTCCTGTGGTGAAACTGAGGGCTTACTGAAGTACTTGCCAAATGTTCATCGACTTTATTAGGGTCTGTATTCTGCTCCTCGTGTTTCCAGCACGGAGCTGCCAAGCAGCTGAGTAACTAACGGAGCGGCCAAGCTTGAACATACAGAAGATTAGAAGGCGCCCTAACACCTCCTGACAACAGGTCTACCCACCCGGTGTCAGTGTTTCCATGATGATGGTTTATGTACTTGCCATAGAGACCGGACTCAGAGCTATAGGTAAATGCTGTTGTCTGAGATCGGGACTCAGACCCACACAAATCTGCATGGGCACGCAGCTCAGGTTGAATAATCATCAGCTGGAATGTTTATCAGGCTGCTGAACAGGAGTTGAAGCTTCAGTTGCTACTGATGTGAAGCTTCCTGACAGACAAGGGGCAATTAAGAGGCTCTAACTGAACCTGCCCTGTCTCTAGAAGGTGATGAAGGTAGTGATTCAGTGGAGAGATATGCCAGGAAGGGAAGTGTGCCCTGTCTCAACATGTCATGTTCCTTAAACCTACACTTCATAGGAAGGCAGGATTTCTGCAGGAGTTACCAAGACAAATCAAAATAACAGCAAAGTTATGTGACGTAAAGCTGTGTGTATCTGTGACTATTTCACACTGTCACACAGCATTCAGATGAAGGTCTGCAGGATCTGGATTTAAACATCTAAGCAGAGCAGAGAATTTGAGAATAAGGCCAGGCCCCAGAGCAGCCCTACTCAGTGCAAGGGGACAGGTGAGCACACAGCATGCACTGAGGGCTGCTAGGGAAGGCATGACCAGGCAATTCTACTTTCTCTCATGCAAATAAATACTTACAGCTTTTGTTTACATTTCCTATTTCACTAAGCTCGAATCCCAGCTTGAAGGGATGCTTCCTGGTCGTGCCTGTGACCCAAGGAGACTGCATGCATCTTTCCATCTAATGATGGAGACTGATCTGGAAGAAGAGGCA